TAAAAACACCTATGTAACTGGGCTGAAAATATCAAGTATTCACTCAATTAGTATGTATTTATTGGGTATCCACACTGAGAATACAAACACTCTAACATTACAAAGTCCTTGCCCTAATGTAGCTCACGTTCTATCATCCACTTTTTGCAATAAATGAACAAAAAAGGCAGGATTTTACTAAGAAAAGTACAACTAAATTCTCAGCACTATTGGCCAAAAATGGGGTCTAGAAATATATTTTGTCAAATCATACCATCCAACTTCTCTGATTAGATTAATATCTGGAAAACTGTCTTCGCTCGAGAAATAACAAAGAATCATGCTATATCCAAAGGAAGTAATGCTGTTTCATTTGTAAGAAGAAATTTAGAAGAGAAAGCTTTCTTCAGGTCAACAGTCTTATAATCCAATTTGATATTAAACTCAACCATTACCTATACCTATCACGCTTGGGCAAATCACCTTCCATCTCTAAGCCACATGTGCTTTAATCATAAAAGGAGTGGTAATATCTTACCTTCATAGAGCAGAGAACGATGCAAGATGAAATTTTGAATTCCCTTTCTATGATTTGTGATCTTCCACATCATATATTTAATATTCTGGCAAAAGGCCTCTCATTAAATTAGGAACAGAAACAGTTACCCTACTGACTTACAAGGCATGATCATTTAAGTCTCCTTCAAAAGATATTTCCACAGAGGAATATATCTTTAAGAAATCCAGCAACAGCAAACTTATGCTTCAATGAAGCATTTAATGAAAAGTCTGAGTTTGTTTAGAGGTATATAAATAATTCTTGAGAATTTTTCATTTAAACCCAATTTTAGTGGAAGACAATATCACAGAATATATCACACAGAATGTGTTAATCATTCAAAAAATACTAAAGAGAATAAATTTTTCATCGGCTTGAAATTCAAACATAAATTGATACTATTTTCTAGATCACTTTAAAAAGAATGCAATTACTATGTATAATGTCACAGGTACATACCAATATTTCACAGACATATGGTTCTTTGCATACATAAGTTTTGAGATTTTGTTTTCATGACAAAGAACACAATAAGTGTTCTTTAAAATTAATTGTCATATTCTGTAGAACTGGTGGTGTGAAGATTTTTATTCTTCAAATATCACATATTGTTTTCCTTTCCAAATGTGTTATCATTCACATCTTTAGAATACAAAGTAATCAAAGAGGTTGCTAAAGCAAGAGTTGCATATTCTTCCACCATTTCTCCATCAAGAGTCTAATATGGTATGCGGCACAAAAGACAAAGTCCGTTTCAACTTAGAACAGTCTACCTGGAGTTTTAAAACCTTCCATTCTTCTACTGTCTACTGGATACCGTGGTAGGTACTGGGGATACATTTTTAAGTAGAAGAGATTCAATTCCTGCCTTCATGGAGTTAGTACAGCGAATGAGACATAAATTAATCAGTCAGATAACTATATTTCTGCATACTGTAAGAAGAAAAAAGAAGGGTGCAATGAGGTATGTGAACATCTGATTTACTTTTGCAGGTGAGGAGCTTTCCTGAAGAAGTTATGAGTGAAAGGAAATAAGAGTGTTATTAGGCAGAGATAAATTGGCCAGAGGTGAGGAAAACCTATTCCCCAGCAGAGAACAGAATGCGGGCGAAAAGATAGGAGGAAACACCAGAATTATCTTTGGGGGAAGAGCGGTTGCAGAGATACGGGTTAGGAGGTTATGGCGGCAGTTCCAGGTGAGAGATGATGGTGTCTTAGATTAGAAGGGTAGTAATGAAGACAGAAGGCAAGATTGAAGAGATACTTGGGAGGAAATCAGTGCTACACACTGAAGCCACGTAGAGTTAGCAGCATTTTATAGATGACAGATGTTGAGATATTTTTCTGTTGTGAAACAAAACAGTAAATAATCTGGGAATCTGAGCTTATCTGATGCTCCTCAATAAAACAGATAGCGAATGTAGCCAGGCTCTCTAACAGCAGTAACATCTTAGCAGGGGTGTCTTCAGGTAGTGTGCCAGAAGCCTATGACCAAGACTACAGTAAAGTCGACCATGTATTTAAGAAATAATTACATATCACAGGTTCCAAATGTCAAAACTACTGTGATTTTCAGGGTACAGTTTATAACATCCCATTATAGCACTTAGTCTTTCTCCTTTGTACGTCTGTGAAAATAAGATTTCAAGACTTAGGAGGAATAGAAATGTATAATATTAGGAATCAACTAGCAACATAAATTTGTAAAATAACATTTGATATCAGGCATATCTTATTATATCTTAGATTACTAGGGGGGGGAAAAAGATGTTGCCATGTCAAGGAAACATGTCATTTTATGAAATACAAGACCAATGTTTGAAATGCATAGCAGGAACAACAACTTCTACAAAGAGAGCTTTTTTGTCAGGAAATTAAGACATATATACTCATTAACTCTACTCCTTTCCCTGTTTCAGATTACTAATAAATGGAAAATTTTTACAAGTTTTCTTTCTTTCTGCTTTATGTAACCAGTATAATAAAATATTTATCAAATCCAGTAATAGGCTTAAAGTTAACAGGAAGTCTACAGTTTCCCCTTACAAAAGGACTAACAACACTATTTCCCAAGTACTCCAATATTGAAATTTAATTCTTGGCTCCCCTACTTCATGAAGCAGAATTAAAAAAACAACAAAACAAAAAACAGAAAGGAGGAGTAATTCCTAGTGTTTCACTTTAATATACTGATTTTTATCTATAGACCCATTTAAATCTCATGCACGAGAGAACCTTGATATAATATATTCTAAAATCTATTTATCTCTCTACTTATATTCCCATGAAAAATTACCTTCCTTAGTCTTAGGTGGTCCAATGTGCATGTAGTTATTTTCCCTTGGGTACTGTAAGAACATAAAATGCTTCTAGTTTTACAAATGTTCTGACAAGCTATATGAAAACACACAGTAATTAGCACTGTGGTCCCACACACAATAGTAGAATCCTGACAGGAACACTAGCATGAAAGAGATATATCACTTAGTCAAAACCCCAACCTGAGCAAAGTAGGAGTCCAAAGATGACAAAGACTTATTAATGACCTGTAACATAATAGGTAAAATCTAGGAATGCACATTTATTTATGTCTTTGCAATCTCTGAGCTGTTAATAAAAATGTCACATTTGAAATGATGGGGTGGTATAGTTAATAACTAATAGAGGAACTGATCTCTAGAACTGTCAATAAATCAGTGTCATGGAACTTGAGGGAAGGAAGGACCTTGGGGAATCTGGAGTCTATTCCCTTATTTTAAAAATAAGAATGTCAAGGGATAGGGAGAAAATGCAATGAGTTCATATACCTAATATCTATTAGATAAGAGACTCAAATACTTGTAGCATGGCAGAATCCAAGTCTGGTGTACTAGCTGGTACTCTTCTCAGATCTCCAAATTAAAAAAAAAAAAAATATATATATATATATATATATATATATATATATATATATATATATATGTTTTTGTTTTTTTTTAAGCCACACATGGATTGCAAAAACACACAAATTATTGAATAGAGGTCTTAACTGCTGATTCGTTAACCGGAGACACTATGAAGAACAAGAAAATTTATACTTACATTTTTTAAAATGATTCTATCATACTATATATTTTCATCCCAAACCTACTATACCACAATAAACCCTCTAGACCCACACATAAACATAAATACAGTATATGAAGCTTATGATTAATTATTTTTAAAGTAAGTTTAAAAATACAGAGTAATCTTCAAGAAGAAAAGAGAACAAAAAGGAAGCATACAGCTTTATAGACAGTCAAAGGGAGAAGAGCGAATCTGAGTTCTGCTTCAGTGATGCTATAAATGCAGAATGGGAAAATCTAACCTTTTAGCTCTTTCCTCTGCGGGAGTTTCGGGTTTCCTGCATCCATCAGTAAGAGCCCTCGTCCTGCTGCCTACCTAAGTGACTATCCAGCCGCTTGTCTAGCTTTCTCCAAAGCCTTCAGAAATTGCTCTCTGCCCCTCCGAAGTGCATGTTTATATGCTCTAGACAAAGCTTTGGGGATCAGGGGGAAAACATCTCAATTCCTCTCATCCATGGAAAAGGCGGCATCTGTTGCTTTTCTTTTAAGACAGCCTTTTGAAATTCTCATGAGATGAATCCTTAGAATTCACTGGCCCTCTCGAACAAGAACACTGAAGAGACAGCCAGTCGCTACCAAAAAATTTAAAAAAAAAATGGAAGTCAACTGTGTCTGAGTACATCCAGACAAGCATTTTCTAGGAGTCTGTTCTGACTGAAGAATAGCATCTTTTCTCTTTTCTTTTCTTTTCTTTTTCCTTCCTTCCTTCCTTCCTTCCTTCCTTCCTTCCTTCCTTCCTTCCTTCCTTCCTTCCTTTTTCTCCTTTGCCAATTCAATCTTACTAAACAAAAGGGCAAAACTTTCATAGCATGTTCTTCCCCTTCATCCTTAATCAACAGACCATGCCCACTAACTTCCTACTCTACCTAACACAATATGTCTGTTCCTTGAACAAAACCCTTCATTCTGCTTTATGTCCTGCCTGCGATATTTCTGATTTTAAAAAATTCTTCTTGGATCATCCCAAGTTTAAAGCCGGGCCCACGGTTACTTGTAGCATGTCGCTGCATGCGTGTATGCGTGCTGCAAAGTCCCTCTAAATCACAGACCTCCCACTCAGTCCCAGCAGGAACTTGTTTGGTTGTCTTTCCAGGTTCTATTCCTTCCTTCTACACCAAGTCAGGTTATGGATCCTACACTTCATTATGTTAAAAGGGCCACATCCCCAGGGATGCTGGTAAAAGAACCCACCTGGCTGAGCAGTGTTGCTCCAGACTTGGTGTTAGAGACCTGCGGTCAGCAGGCCTGGTACTTGGACCTGAGTGTGAACTCCTTCCCTTCCCCTCTCCCCTGCACCCCTTCCCTCCCTTCTTTCCTCCTCCCTCCCTCCTCTCTAAGCCTCCCCAGCTTGCTACCTGTTGGCAGTGCTGGTGGTGCTGCTCCCGCTGCTGTGTTTCTGGGCCCGGCTCAACCTCCGCGGAGGCTTCGAATGCTGCAGCCGGGGGCTGGGCATGGAGGGAAACGTTGAGGCGTAGCCATGTTCACACTCTAAAGAGACAGCAAGAAGAAAAAAAAAAAGATATAAGGGACTATACCCAAATCCATGGATCCACAGCGCTGAAGTGCTTGCGGTGGTAGCATGTTGTTAAAACAGGAGAAGAAAAAGAGGCATTCTTTCTGGTTGGAAGATAAAAGTCCCAATCCTTCCCTGGACATCAATCCTGTGACATTGCACACTGACCCAATCAACGGCCTGGAAGGCGTGTGGAGACTTCCTCTAAATCAAGTCGATTTATCCCTTTAACAAAGCCATTTTCTCCAAGAATTCTTGGCTTACCCTAATTTCTGAGCCAGGTTACCCTTCACCTCCATCATTTCACTGGTCTCACAATTTCTCCTTTCCTTGAAGTCTTCCCAGTCTTCCCATTCTAGGTGTCATTCTAAGCCTCGCATTTTCATGTACTTAGTGATTCAATCTCCTCGTCTTAGGACACTTTCTCTCCTGACACCACAGCTCCCACTGTTCCTTCTCTTCCTACCCCATCTCTTGACATCTCCTCCAGTCTCCATCCCTAAAAGGATCTCCCATCACCCCACCTTGATGGATCGCCAGAGGTCCCGCCCCAGCGTGCGCCCGCTCCTGGCTCCCAGCCCTGCCTGTGCTGCCCCCCCTACGCCCCCTTCCTCCAGTCTCTGGGGTCCCCTCCCCCCAGCTTCAGGTTCACCCTCTCCAGCCGCCTGCTCCCCAGCCTCCCAGCTCCCACCCGCTCCCCGGCCCCTACCGCCCTCCTCCCCTGCACAGACCTACGAGCGCCTTCCCACACGTGTGTCCACCTCCCCTCACAAAGGGCCTCCCCTATGCCGCTCCCTCACCAGCTCACACGTGCACGTCTTCACACGCATCTCCCCTCACAATGCACCCTCCTCACACATGCGCCTCCTCATACATGCATACTCCTCACACATGCACACCTCCCCTCATGCATGCACTCTTCACACATGCACCCTCCCCTCACGTGTGCACACTCCTCAAACATGCACCTCCTCATACGTGCACACTCCTACACGCACACCTCCCCTCACGTGTGCACACTCCTCACACATGCACCTCCTCATACATGCACACTCCTACACGCACACCTCCCCTCACACACGCACACTCCTCATATATGCAGCCTTCTCACATTCGCACACTTCCCCTCACATGCGCATACACCTCACCCACATACGCAATTGCCTCACGCACACACGACTCCTCATACACGACTCGCACACGCGCATCTCCCCTCACACATGCACCCTCTTCACACGCGCACTTCACACGCGCACTCCCCTGCTCACACGCGCACCTCACCCGCCGCACTGCATTCCCCGCGCGGAGCAGGAGTGCGCGGGCTCCGGCGGCGGCGGCGCCCAGCCGTTACCTCGGTCTCGGCGCTCCAAAAACTCGGCTGCCTCCAGCAGGCGCTGCACATTGATCATCCGCACCCGCTCCATGGGCACCGCGGGGGCGACCTCTCCGCGCTCCCTTCCCCGGCCCACAGGAGGCGCCGCGGGCGGCTACAGTCCGGCGCCGCCCCGGGACATGTGCGGCGGGGGCCGGCCAGCCCGCCCGGCCGCTGCTCGGCGCGCAGTCCGCCCCCGGCCCCGCCGTGCCCGCGGCCCCACCGCCCGGCCGCGCCGCCCGCAGCCCGCGCGCGGTTTGTTTACCTCTCCGCGCGAGCACGGGGAGGGGCGGGAGCAGCGCCGCGCCCGCCCCCTCCCGCCCCTCCTCTGCCTCCTGGGAAATGTAGTCCCGCCCCGCCGACTGCACGCCGGGAGTTGTAGTACGGGGACCGTTTTTTGATGCTCCTGCGTGCAGCCGGATTCCGCAATGGCTGCCGGGACATGTAGTCACGTTTGGCTTCTCTATGGGGCAGAAAGACCAAGGGGTTACCTTGGCTCTGCTCCTGGCAGGGAAGGGTCTGAGGGAGCTGAGTGTCCACTGCCAGGAGGCCCTTTTCTCAGCGATTACCAGTGGGTGCCCAGAGCTGGAGCATTCTTTTTCCGAAGTTCCAGTCCTCTATCCACCCCCCCTCTCCTGTAACTTCTGTGCCTTAGTCTCCCCCTCTGCAAAATGTGCTGCTCAGCACACACAGAAACACTTGGAAAGCCAAAATCACCGTTCAGAAACAAGGGAAGACCCCTTCGCAAACAGAGAGGGCTCCATATGGTCCCTCTTCCTTCTCCTACCTCAGTTTTCACATAGAGGTAGGTGTTTCCTTTTTAAACTTCTTTTAAAAACTCCTTTCTCCTCCCTCAGTCCTTCACTGCTGATTTTAGAGGCCAGAAAACCGCTCTAGTGCTATAAGTGAAGGATATAATTCAGTGGGTAAGTGATTTGGTGCTGAAGTCACACGGGGTCAGTTCAAATCCTGACTCTGCTACTTACACTAGCTGTGTGGTCTTTCCAAGCCTCGTTTTTCTCATGTGTAAGATGGACATAATGACTCCATTTACCCAAATGTTAAAGGCCTGCCACATGCCAGGCACTGTACTAGACGTAAAGTGTACAGTAATGAGAGAAACAGACAAGGCCCCTGCTCTCAAAGAGTGTGTAGTCAGTACGAGCTTAGCGGGAAGATTAAATGAAATAATTCCAGCACTTAGTCCATGACACTTAATAAATGGAAGCTATGATGGCTGTTTCCTCTCATGTTTTCCATAGAGAGAACTGCAAGCAGCGGTTAACGACAGCTAGGACCACATTAAAGGACTGTCAATGGCTGCCCTCACCATCACTCTCTTTCCAAGTCCTCAAAGTCTAGACCAGAGTTTCTCAGCTTCAGCATTACTGACATTTTGGGGTGAATACTTCTAGGGCAGGGGGGCGAGGGAGGGGGGGAGAACAGGAGGCAGTGGGTGATCTGTGCATTTTGGGATGTTCAGCAGCAGCCCTGGCCTCTACCCATTATATGCTCATAGCACACCATTATATGCTCATGGCATCCAGCAGTGTCTCCAGACATTGCCAACTGTCTCCTGAGGCACAAAATCATCTCCATTTGAGAACCACTGGTCTAGGGAGAGGAAAGGCAAGAAGGTCATAACTGCTGAATGCTCTAGGACCAAGTTGGTAATTAAGTAAACATCCATAACTTTTCCCCACCCTGATTATTTTAACCTGCTGGTGGACATCCAGAATAACAGGAAGCTCTTGGTGAGGGGAGAAATTCCAGTGGCTACTGCAGAAAATACCATCTCAGGATGAAAATCGTACTCTCAAAAATGTCATGGGCTTCATACTGCATTTTAATTCTCTCTCTCTCTCTCTCTCTCTCTCTCTCTCTCTCTCTCTCTCTCTCTTTTCCAAGTGAACAAGATTTCCAATGAGGTCAAAAACTGCAGCAGTCTGTGCCAGCCCTTTTAAATATTATACTTGGCACCACATTTAAGAACCAAATAGATGGTCCATCAAGTGCAGGGAGACCCGAAATGAGAGGTGTTCACAAGCCACAGGAGAGTTAAATTTTTTGTAAAGGCTTTCAAACAGGGACTGTGCTTTTTCAGCTGTTGGCTGGGTCACTTCAGATCTGGACTTTCCCATTGGGTATTGGTAACAACCACCCTCCACCCTCAAAAAGGGTCATGTTGAGTAGGGGAAGAGTAGGATAATTTAAAAGACAATACCTATTCACTCATAACATCTGTTAGGCGAGGGTAGAAATTATTTCTACCGCTTACAGAACCCTTTAAGCTTTAGATCTCATATTGCTAAGAGCTACCTGCAGTACTTAAAAGAGGTAGTTTTATGACAGATAAAAATCTACCCAATGGGAATGAAACCATGTGACATGCAATCAAGAAAAAAAAAAAAAGTACTAACTGAAAATACATATGGGTTCAAGATGGGTTTAATGCATAGATCATAAGCCCTAGGACATTATTAAGAGAAAGTGAGATGATGCACATGTCTGGCCTTTCTTAGTTGACCTCCTCCCCCCGCCTGAAATTGTTATTGTTCACATGGGGGGGGGGGGGATCAGTTTTTCAGTTGAAACATATTGGAAATTTTAGCCCAGAAAGAATAATTATTACTGGAAATCTTATAAAGTAGATACATAAGGATTAACCTGAATCCATTATGTCTGTAATGATTTTTAATAATATATTCTCTTCAGTGAATATATATTAAAAGCATAAAATAAGGGACACATACAGATAAGCTACAAGTCACAAAAGAACTCTATATTCTTGTCTTGTAGTCTATATTTCAGAATAGGTGAGCATTACAAACCAGAAAAACTGTTGCTTTGAATCAGCCCTTCGTTAGAGTCATGGCCAAGAGGGAGATGGGGAGATAGAAATCAGGGCAAGCGCCACCTAAAGGCCACCTGCGCACATGGAAGAGGAGAGATGATGTAATGGTGGGCAGTGGAAAGTGTTAACAGCTGGTTTATATGTAGAATATCCAGCCTTTTATTCTTTCTATTTTTTTATTTTATTTTTAATTTTTAGAGAGGGTGGAAGAGAGAGGGAAAGACAGACAGAAACATCAATGTGAGAGAAACTCATAGACTGGTGGCCCCCTGCATGAGCCCTGACCAGGGCCCGGACTGGGGAGGAGCCTGCAACCAAGATATGTGCCCTTGGGTGGAATCAAACCCAGAACCCTTTGGTCTGCAGGCCGACGCTCTGTCCACTTAGAAAAACCAGGGGGGCTTTTCTAACAGCAGTTGAAGGGGCCACTTTCTTCTCCCTGCTCCGGGGGACCCCAGAATGCTTGTTGGCCACGCGGGCCTCCTCCAGCACGAAGCTTGGGGCTGTAGCCTCAGGAAAGTGATCCCATCCACCAACCATCCCCCAGCTTCCGCCCCAGCCTGAAGGAACCCAGGGGCAGCCGTGCCCTTCCTATTGCTCACACGAGTCCGCCTTTGCACTACAGGTGCAGACGGGGAAACTGAGGAAAAGCACTTGCTTCCAAAGCCTGCTGACAAAAGAACCTGGAAGTCTGCCTGTGTCTCTGGTTCTGTCCCCTCCTGAAGGCAGCTTTCTCCGGAGTCTCACCG